AAAAAAAAAAAAAAAAAAATGAAATTCGTCGAGGATCGATAACTGATGTTTTGGTAATAGCAAGAAAACTAGTCAGTTCAATGATCAGGCAACAAAAAAAGAAAAAAAACTCTAGTAAAATACCGAGGTATTTTCTAGTTTCACAAGCGTTCTTTTGTCCGAGTGAAGCCGGAGCATAAGTCTTTTTACGTAACGAGCAAAGAAAGTGCCGCCGCGCGAGCCGCAAAAGCGGTCAACCAATTTTAAACGCTCGGTCGTTCGATCTCTCGATAAGATGTACGCGCAGTGATTCATTTTAAATAATATAACCTCTATTTACAAGTCAGAGGGTGTCACAATTACACTTGTGACAAATAACTGCGTGTTGCGATCATTCGGAACATTAATAAACATTGCTAGTAGTATTTGTAATGGTATCGTGTTACTATAGACGCAGCCTGTCCTACAAATGCTTATTCTACTTCGACGGTAAACTGTAGTACTACCTGCAGACTTGTTTTACCGACGTGAACAGTTGCCACTCGATTGGTAACACGTCATACCACACGAGACACTGAGGAGTTTCTACTCGCATTTAGCGAGTGAATTTCTAGGATGAGTCTTAATACGTTATTGTATGTAATTACTAACAATTACCTTGTAACAATTATTTAATTAACGTAAATAATACGAGCTAATTGACTGCGATCGCGGTTCTATCCTGTGTGCTTTATTTGCAATTCCGCAATTGAATGATATGTAACATCAATTAAAAAAATTACAATTATTGTAATTAAGGATTATTAACTATCGACAACATTGACAATCTAGTTGAATATAATTCCCCAAGCTCACCATTCTAAGTCGTACGGGGCACAACAAAACGTTTCTACTATTTTTACGCGATCGGTATTTCAGAACGTGACATGTCCAAGTCCCGTAACGTGTCAGATCTGTATATACACGTGCACTCGTTTCTACTAGCAACGGTTAATCCCCCCATCGGTGCATTACCGACCGTACCTACTTCGCGCTCAAGTGAATACAGTACAGATGTCAGTCGGACATTGAATCGAGCGTGATGGTCCGGATCGATTTCCTACCAAATTTCATTTCAAATTTTCGAAAGCTCGAGAAAATATAATTGAAAGTATAACGTTGAAAATACACATTTGATGCCGAGGCAGGTGCGAGATCACGTAAATTCGTAAAAACCGAGCGCAATGACGAGGCGAGATAAAATTCAGAAGCGGTGCACTACAATATGAGGTCGTGCTTGGAATTTCGTTTAGGGACGAACGAAATCTATTTACACGCGTGACGTGCCCCGAATATAAATGCAAAACTGCAACGCGAGTTCCAGTTAGTCATCGCGCGACCAAACGAACGAAAACAACGTTACCAGTCGTGACAGAGGCGTAATACCGTTCTCCCTCGTGGTTTTCCCAATGAACCGAAAGCGAGCTAGAGAGGAGAGACTCCTCGAGTGGTAACGAGTGTGTGTCGGGCCAAGTAACGGTAAACGCCATATCGCTCTTGTATGCTACGTGTCCTATTCGTAGCGCGCTCACTCTCGAACGCGCGTGATTTTCTTCTTTTCCTTTTTTTTTTTTTTTTTTTCGCCGACGTCCACTCTGCGCTGTTATTTCTGCGTGCACGGTGGAATTAGAATCGAGTTCACGTAGAGATTTCACTTCTTCGATTACGACGAGAGAGAGATAAATAGCAAGTCCTTCTTGATTGCTCAATCCACTGGAGTAATGAGTGAACTTTGCTATTAAAATGAAAGTTTAGACCAGAAGGATTACACACACACACACACGTGTGTACATATAGTCACTTTTCAACACTTACGAGTGTGATTCATATTTAGAAAATTTATTCTCCATCTTCCCTTGCTTCTCTCTCTCTTTCTCCCTCATTTCTTCCCTTCAGACGCAACACGTTGCGACGAGACGTTTTAAATGGTTCGCAGATATGTAGGCTACCATTACGAGCGAGCGCAAACGCGCTTAAAAGTAAACGGCTGAATCGGATAAAGCGTAACCCACTTCTTTCAACGTGGAACGCGCTCGTGGAAGCGTTTTCGATTTATATACATACATATATATACGGGTATTATTTTAACGGTTTGTCGTGTGCCAGACAATAAAGGCAGAGGCTCGCGATGGAAACACAGCCGGAAATAATAGCGGCGTGCCACGCGGAGCAGCGAGGCGAGTGCAAACGTGAGAGATGAGCGAAACAACGAGAACGTCCCGGTGGTAAAAGGGACGTGAAACATTCTGTCAGCGAGCTCTGTGGCTGGAACGAACCGCATACTACGTATCTCGTCTGCAGAGAAAAAAACGCGAATGCCAGCGAGGGGATATAAGTTCGATCGCGAAGATTGCGATACGTCACGTTCCTCCATTCGCCTGTTCGCACGTACGCCGGCAGTTTCCGTAAATGATCGTTTCTCTAACATTCCAACGATGAGAAGAACGTAATGCAATGAACCAGAGCGCGTGCTCGCAAGATGCTCCAGCCCAGATCGTTTATTCAATATATCGTGCTTTCCGCAATTTCGCAGCTTCCGTCGTTTCGAGAAATCTGCCTGAAAGA